GGACGCATGAGCATAGGCAGTACTTTCCGCAGCTTGGTCAGCATCGCCTTGCATATACGGATAAAGGCGGTCGTCCTAGAGTCGTACGTGCAATTCTTCATGCTGACGCTGATGATCACGTACAAGCTTCAACAAACTTTTTACATCGCTCTTATCCGCCTCTTCAACGCCTAAAAGCCGTCGCGAAAGCGTCTCCATGGCGCACGTTCAAGTGCCGATAAGCTGATAGTGCGGCAGACCATCACTCCGACTTCAACGTACTTAAACAAGATTGTTGTGTGGAGTGGTACACATAGCTAGTATCTAAGCCAAACAATTCAATCGCTTGATTCTAGATGGCGACCAAGGGGCGTATGGCTGCTCAAGCAAGTGACGATTCGTTACTGTCAACACGGTGGCAGCAGTCGGTATGCGCGGCAATTACTGGGTGATCATCGCTTCTTGAAATTCGTAGAGGAAAACCCACAGGTGCAGTTCGAGACGGAGATCAAGGGTGCACGCCATCCAATTCTCATTGGTGACTATGGTACGTACAGACACGGTCATAGTAGTTGGAATACTTAGACTAATTTCAAGGATCTAAACGGTGTGATTTTGTAGTGAAAAATGAACGCAAGGTGATGGATATCAAGAATCAGGACATTAAATTCATCATGAAGCAGGTGCGGCTCGAGTGCAACTGTGAAAGCTATTCAGTGAAGAATACTGATGTCGATCTCATGCTATTCATCTGTTTTTGCTGTTTATGAATTGTTGGTTGCAGCTGAATCGCCTTCGTGACTCCAGTGGCCGCAAAATGACGCACATTAAGAAACCTGTCATCTCAAAACGTCCGACCATCCAGGGAATCTGGCAGCCAGACGTTGACTTTCCCGAGTTCAAGATCAGTGATCGCGTGTAGAGATTCCTGCTGCGGAGGACTACAAAAATAGCAATAGCACTGGCACAGGGCCTTTTCAACAAGAAAAGCATCAACTATATTCTTATAGCCGCCGAAAGACAGAAAAACGAAGTCCTCCGCTTCGGGTCGTACCCTCTTTCTCACCAAACTCTTTGGATCATAGTCTTGCACGACGTCTTGACGCTGCTAGCTACGATAGCAAGAAAGAGACAGCGCTTGGTTTTCCAGCCAGCTTAAAAACCGTGCAGCACCACTTGGGCGTCCATGCAGATCTCCTGGTCCAGCAGAAACTCGCGAATGTTAGTCCGCTGGTCACCTGACAGCTGGATAATCTCGCCTAGCTCGTCGTCCTTTACAATGGCACCATTGCAGCTAAAGTTTTTCTTAAAAGCCTTAAGGATACGCGTTACATCCAAATCATCGGCCAGGCCTTGCACCGTTGTCAGGCATTTGCGGCCATTGCGCTGCTGCACTCGCACGTGCACTTTTCCTCCGCCGATGCTCGAATCGTCCTTGGCATCAGCAAAGGCGTCTGCAGTGCACGAAAAACCGTGTTAAACATATAAGCACATCTATCTACATCTTCTGACAGCAATACATCTGTAATCTCGATCCTTTCAAGCCACAGCAACGCACCGAAGGTCTGGAAGTTCTGAATATCGGCCATGTTTGCTTGCTTTTTGTATAATGTGTGGACAGTTTCTCCCTGATCGCTTTTTCTACAATATAATTGGCTGAAAACGCGCCTGTACCCAATCACTTGGACATCATTTATGCTGCATTTCGATTGGACGAAAGACAGCTTAAAGACGCGAAAGGACTTAATGAGCGTTTTTCCGAGCGTTGTACTCATTAACTGTCATGTCGTCGCCTCGCGCGTCTCTAGCTTATGGTAACAATCTATGTGTAACACAGTGTGCAGATTCTGGCTGGTCGTCGATGGAAAAGATGGCCGCAAGTGAAGCCGAGGATTGGAGAGCTGCAGTGTCAGCAATGTAATGTTACAGTCTGGGCGATAGATCGGCTGCAATACTACGCTTGAGATTTTCTCAGCTATTGCAATTTTTCAATGCTACCTACACAAAGATTTGTTGCTACCTTTTTGAAAAATGATGGAGGACTGTGCGTCAAATCTGGAGGTTTACGTTGCTTACTTTTCAGTTTGCATTGAATACGCTCGACTCACTTGATATATCGTGCAACAGGTACTCGTTAGCACAAACAGCATGACAGTATATAATGTACTTGTTAACATCCGAAAAACCAAAGCGCATCAACTCACGTCGTTTTGCTCTTGTATTTGTAATCAAAGTTTATCGCACGTCCTACACCACAAACGTACAATGACAACAGGGTCACTTTCCAGTAGCAACGAGGACGCAGCAAAGATTTAACATCTTATCGCTCTGGAGACATGATCAATCCGACACGCATCTCACTTTTATTCGCTCTTCTGACCTAGAAGTTGCTTCCTTTTCACGGTGTTCTGACTTACTTAGTCTCCTCCACTTTTGCACGCGAAAAGACACGCTTAACATAAGGCAGCGTCGCTAGCGTAATGGGAAAACGGATGATCTCAAGGCACTCGTTCACGATCACTGCAATGGCAATGTTGCCATAGGTCGGGTCCAGTCTCGCCGGGTCAATGATTTTATCCAGCCCTATCTGCATGATGAAGTCAATGATACTAGTGCCTGATATAAGACCCATATCCAATGCTGCATAGATGGATACACCCGACACAAGGTATAGTGATGTCCACCACGCGAGGAATGGCAGACCGTATTGCTGCAGTGTTCCTAAGAACTTGTTGGGTTTCTTCGCCACCTCGGCCTTCAATGCCTTGAGCTCATTTTTCAATGCTGCATTCTCCTCCATAAGATCCTGTATCTGCTGTTTCTTGCTCTTTCCACTGCTTTGAAGCTCCTCGTCGTTACTCGGGAACGAGGCGAACGAATGGGTTTGGAGACTCTTGGCAAACGAGCTCTGCTCACCAAAACGGAAGCTATAGGAAGCGGTATGAGGCAAACAAGACGATGATGGACGAATCAGACGATGTGCAAGCATTGGAGTGCGACTACACAGCACGGAAGACCGAAACAACGAACGGATGGCGGTACTCTGCAGCATTATAACTTAGCTCGTCCAGTCAGTCACACCAAAAGCTATTAATTGAAATTAGTTACTATTCTGTAGCCATTGTACAACGATAATCATAGGAAATACTATTTCGTAAGTGAAAATAGTATCTCTTATGACTATTATCTAAGAGCAAATAGTATCTCCTATGACCTTTTGGCTCTTGATACTGGCGTAAAAAATAATATGTTTATGAGGCCAGAGTCCAATGACAGGAACAATGCACATTTATAATTGACAAAAGTATGGCAGAACAATTTTATCGGCAGGCGACATGCTGATTCTATTCGTTGGTTCTTGGAGACATCACCATGTGAATTGAATGCTATTGTGTTTTACGTTTCCAATTAGCATCATTGCTAGTAGTCGAACCCTGAGCTGTCTTTGCTACACCAATTGAAACCCAGAGGAGTAGTGCTGCACCCATACTCGCAAACAAAAGAGTTACGGAGCTTACAAGCCAAGCTGAGGGAAGATAGCCGACAGGTACAGGTACGTCGATTACTGGAATAGGAGAGATCGTTGTCAGACGAAGCCAGTGGTGGTCGCCGCTTGCTGGATCTGGCAACCTCGTTAGTCCCCAGGTCTGTAAGTCACATAGTAAAGTCAGTAGCTACATGTGGTATACTCGATATGACGAAAACCTCCGCTTACCTGAAAATAGCTCTGTATAGCATCATCATTCGATGACTTCAGCTTCCTTTTGACGGAACGATCTCCACTCGGGCAGACTAGGAACAAGTCGGGAGCAATGACGGATGCATGGCGATACAAATCGGTTTCTGACGGGGCTTGATACCGAAAATGAAGTGGAAATTCTATGTGCGCTTGGTTCGTTGTTGGCCTGTTTAGAACACCAACAAAGCACGGATTTGTCAACGACACGGGGGCTCTTTTACATCAAAAGCAATCAAGAGAGCAATCTGAACAAACATTGTAAACTCGAGACCAACAACATGTTGAGAGGATACAACCGAGGGCCGCTCGATTTCAATGTGCTTCGTGAAGGATGCAAGTTTGAGATCGCCAAAGCGCTCCATTCTCTGCAACACCACATGAGTTAACACGCATGTACGTTAGGATGCACGATTTAGCTTCTGATAGCTTCAACTTACCCGAAGCTCGTCCAAGTCGAGATACACGGTCCTAGACACTGGCACAAGCATAAGAACCGTTTTGTCGCAAGTAGTCTTACCGCAGACTTCATTATCAAGGAGCTCCACATCCATTACATACCGACGATGAAAACCTTCTCCAACGATAGCAGCCTGTATTGACGCCGCTACTGCAGTCTTTGCAATTTGGACCTCAAACACAGATGGAGCAACTCCAGGCGCTCCGGGCTTGCCATCTCGTTGAACCCAAGCGTACTCGAGTTTGTCAAGACCCAGCTCTCGGTCAATTGACGTTACAACTAGAATGTCGCTTTTGGTCTCACGTACTGGAAGAGTGGCCACCCATGGTGCCTGCACTTTGTCCGATTGTGATACCCATACCTCCAAAATCTCTGCTTCAATCATCGCTGAAGAAACTGGACTGCGACCGAGTTTCACCACTGCTAAGCAGTGTTCGCGCTGACCCGTGTAGAAGCTTTGTTTGTTCTCCAGCACTGTACGTTCTGCCACCGACTTGAGTGAATCAACAGAACCACCGTTTGCCACACGGATCATTCTGTTGAAAAATGTAATGCTCTCATTCTTGGCCGACAACGGGAACGACGATGCGTAGCACAAACTTGATGATTTGTCTGTAGACTCGTGTAAACTCTCTTGAAGTGGGTTCCTTGCCATCCAGGAGTGGAAACCGCACAGCGACTTGGCCAAAAATCCTACAGTAATGGTCACCAATAAAGTAAACAAGCTAAGTCATAGACTGTGTTCGCCCCACTCCTCGTACACGCCACCACTGCACCTCTCGACAATTGAGGCAGGATATCTATCGAGGGTAGTACAATGTGTAAGATGTTGCGAATATTCTCCTCAATTCGCTCATGCACCGTTTCATTGACAAAGTTCCAAGAACCTTCGTCTCTTAGCTTGGTTTGTAAATGGATACCCTCTGCATTTATCCCATCAAACCGTTGCGAATTTGTCCAGAAGCGATCGAACGTCGAACTGCGTGCGTCACGAGCCGGGACCCACACAATCTATAACAGTAAGCGTACAACTCATTCTACAGCTTAGCTATAAAGTATCAATTAGACAAGAACCCATGTTGGTCTACTACCTCAATGGTAGAAAGTAGCGGATCCAAAAGTATCTTTACACAAGAACCAACATAACGTCAGCTCATTTATACGAATAATAACAATAAAGTAGTAAAGTATTAATATACCTCTGACCCAGTATTAAATTTGATATCAAAGGTGCCAAGAGTTCCTCCATCCGACGCTTTGACAATTGACAAACCATCTAGAGAACGCGTCAAAGTAATCATCAAGGTAAGTAAACAATAGTATTGCAACAAGACTAGTACATACCTTCATCAACGGATAGTGATAAAGTTGCATTTGTTTGCTGTGGCCATAGTGCATAAACTGGATCGTTCGATCCATTCACACTAAGAAGATTTACAGCAAGAAGTCCTCCTAGCAGTGGAACCCAATGTATCATTGCTATTTTAATGTTATTATTTCAGATTGAGGAGAGAATAAATAACTTCGCTCTACCTCCAACATTTAATATACGCACTTTGTAGCTGGTGTATACTACCAAATCATCCTGGTATTCACACAAAAAGTCTTCGATCCACCCCTCGCCAGACAATAATAATGAGCTACCGCGGCATGAACTCGAACGCTGAGATTGTGAGCAAATCACAGGCTCTTATGGTCAACGTAAGCGCTGCAAAAGGTCTCCAAGGTGTACTTAAATCCAATCTAGGTGCGTCTTTTCCTCTCTCTTCCTTACACCAATAGAATTATCCATCACGATGAAGGGTTTTTTATTTTACTTACATTGGTTTTATAAATAAAATACCTTGAAATATAAATTTGTAGGACCTCGTGGAACTCTCAAGATGCTCGTAGGTGGAGCTGGACAAATTAAACTCACAAAAGATGGCAATGTATTGCTCCATGAGATGCAGATTCAACATCCAACAGCGGCTCTAATCGCCCGTGCGGCTACTGCACAAGACGACGTGACGGGAGATGGAACGACGTCCACTGTTCTATTCATTGGGGAGCTACTGAAGCAAGCGGAACGCTTCTTGGCTGACGGTCTACACCCGCGTGTTCTGTCGGAAGGCTTTGAGCTTGCTAAAGACGAGACGTTGCGTGTGCTGGACAGCATCAAGATCACACGTGAGGATATCCTCAAAGACCGAGAACTGCTTTGTAGTGTTGCACGCACATCGATGCGCACAAAACTGGACCAGAAACTTGCTGATCAACTAACTGAGATCATTACGGACGCTGTGCTGACGATCGCTGTGCCGAATCGTCCAATTGACCTGCACATGATCGAGATCATGCACGTACGTGACGTGTGCTTGATAAAGTGATTGTTGTTTTATCCTCGATGCTGATATGTTTACTTGTATTGATGGATATTTGACAGATGATGCATCAGAGCAGCAATGACACCCGTCTCGTTAAGGGGCTGGTGCTTGACCACGGATCACGCCACCCGGATATGCCTACGTCACTGGAGAATTGCTACATTATGACGTGCAATGTATCGTTGGAATACGAAAAGAGTGAGGTAAACTCGGGCTTCTTCTATAACAGCGCAGACCAGCGTGAAAAGATGGTGGAAGCCGAGCGCAAGTTCACGGACGACAAGGTCCGACAGATTATTGAGCTGAAACGCGAGGTTTGCACCGAAGAAAACAAAAGAGTTTTGTGATTATCAACCAGAAGGGTATTGATCCTCTGTCGTTAGACATGCTGGCAAAAGAAGGTATTCTGGCCCTGCGTCGCGCCAAGCGTCGTAATATGGAACGGATAACGCTTGCCTGTGGTGGAATGCCCATCAACTCGACGGATGACATGGACGAATCCATGCTGGGTTACGCTGGCAAAGTGTACGAGCAGACTTTGGGTGAGGAGCGCTACACGTTTGTAGAGGATGTTCAGCATCCGAAGTCTTGCACGATCCTGATCAAGGGTCCGAACGAGCACACAATTGCGCAGATCAAAGATGCGATCCGCGATGGTGTTCGCGCTGTAAACAATGCCATTGAAGACAAGGGTGTCGTTCCGGGCGCTGCTGCCTTTGAGCTGTCTGCCCACGAGGCCCTTAACAAGTTTAAGGGCACGGTGAAGGGCCGTGCGAAGCTTGGCGTGCAGGCTTTTTCGGACGCTCTGCTCATCATCCCCAAGGTATTGGCTGAGAACTCGGGTCTCGACGTGCAGGACACTCTGATCGCTGTTCAGGAGGAGCACCAGAACTCGGGTATGCCTGTGGGTATCGACCTCTTCTCGGGCGAGCCGATACTGCCGGAACAGGAAGGTATTTGGGACAACTACCGAGTGAAACGTCAATTCATTCACCTCGCTACGACACTGGCTTCGCAGCTACTGCTTGTTGACGAAGTGATGCGTGCTGGCAAGCAGATGGGTGGGGGTGGTGGTATGCAGCCTGAGCAGTAAGTAGGAAAGGGGCGGATACGTACGTAGTTTGTTTCCCACACGAATGTATCTGCTCACGACTCGTTTTTGAGTCATAAGAAAACACGAAACACTAAACATTGAGGTATATAAAGTCGATCATTTCTACTCGTAGGCAGTTCATGATGATAATCAAAGACGAAATATCCTTAATGCACTCACAGCGCTGGACAGTTGCACGAACGCACAATCGCAATACATTCTCTTTCCATTGGCTACCATTCTAATCTCCAGCTATTTTTGTTATCCAATCGACTTGCAAAACATCATTAAATCCCCACGTCAGCAATAAAAAAACACTCAACAACTTTTACCAACAGACGTCAATAGAGTTTTCAACTCATCTCTTCATCTCATTAAAAGACCTTGACACGGTTACTTTCTAACACCTCAACCACAACGTCGTGTAACCTCTGGAAGATCGACTTAAAATAGCGTCATTAAGCTCATCGTCTACACTTTGTGACGAAGCGACTATCAAAAAATCATGCCCATTGATAATACCATGAGGTCGACAGTACTTCGTTTCGATCGCTTTTTTACTCGTGCTGATCCAGCCATGCAAAAACGAGTACAAAAAGCATTGGACGTGATGCGGAGTGCTATTGATATTTTCGGTCTTGAGGGCGTGTGTTTCAGTTTTAATGGTGGCAAAGACTCGACGGTGGTGCTTCATTTGCTTCGTATTGTCGTAGCTAAACGTGTGCTACAATTGGCACATTGGAAGATCCAACAGAAAGCTGAGGGTGGGACAACTGTGACATCACCGCGAAATAGCTTCGTCTCGGTGGATTTACTGGATGAACAAGAACTCGAAGCTCGAGTCCAAGCACAATTGCAACACGTGCCGGTTATGTATTTTGACTCGTACGATCAGTTTCCAGAGATACGAGACTTTACGGAAGCATGCAGTAAGAAATACGCTCTTAATTGTCACGTGTACAAGTGCTCATTTGTTGAAGGAGTCAAAGATATTTTAGAGAAACTCAAGATTAAAGGCGTGTACATGGGCGTACGTGGAGGAGATCCACATACGGAAAATTTGGAGCACTTTTCGCCTAGCAGTCCAGGGTGGCCACCATTTTTACGTGTAAACCCGATCTTAAAGTGGACTTACGAGGATGTCTGGCGTTTTTTGCGTGATTGTCAGTTGGAATACTGCTCATTGTACGACCACGGATATACATCGCTAGGAAATATTTTCGATACTGTGCAGAACCCAGAGCTTTGGCGGAAGGGTGAGATGGGCAAGGAGGGATACTATTTGCCTGCATACAAATTGAAGGATGGAAGTTCTGAACGCTGCGGGCGACAGAAGAAGGCGCACACGACTTCAAAGTCTGACTGAGCTGGAAACAATCATGAAACAGCTATTTTTACATCGAGTGAATAGAATTAGAAAGGAATTGGAATTTGACATACCAACCTCAGTCGTTCTTGTATTGATACTATCCTTACCTTCGGCGTGACCGCGAACGAGAGCGCGAACGCCTTCTAGGAGATGGAGATCGAGATGAAGATAGATGGCGATGACGACGGTGTCGATCTGGAGATCGTGAGCGGCCGCGAGAGTCAAGTAGCTCTGCTCGTCTGGACGAGTTTTCATACCTACGACGGTCAGCTGGTGATCGCGAACAGGATCGACTGTTACGATGTCGACTTTCAGCGTGTGACCATCGACCTACCACTCGGCTTCTTCCTGAATGGCTTGGTGGCGAGCGTGAACGCGAACGATACCTTGCATCTTCATTATCCATGCTATGGCGAGGGTAGCGTGATTTTTCGTCGTCCTCATCCTTGAAATGACAAGAGAGATTGCGGGCTGCTCTTTTCTCTTTCTTGCGCTCCTTCTTTTCCTTCTTTTTCAATTTCTTGGCTTCCTTCTCAACCTTTCGCGTTTTTTTTCGTGCTGTCTTGGCCTCACTCTCTGTCATCACGTTAATTGTACCTGGCAACGCATACGTTGTATCTGCCTTGCCACTTGCAAGTTGATCCTTATATCTCTCAGCCAATGTGCGTTTCGTTCCTGTTTGGAATCCTGCAGCTTCCACTGGAGCTGCTCCTATCCCTTCAATTCTCTCGACATCCATGCCATCACGTTCTGCTTCTCCACGTTTCAGCAGCATCTTCATCTCCGACGCACTCAAACCTTCAACAGGCTTATGACGTCTCTTAGGTGCAAAACCTCTACATAGCCACAACAAATAATAAATAGAGCAATTAACACTGTAAACTCGCTACCAATAGTCAAAATTCCCTCCTTCTTAGTGACGTACAGCGCTTCATTCATCAGATCTTCGTCCCTCTGTTTCGCCACTTCCAGTTCCGTCTGCAGCACTTCATCTCGTTGTAATTTACTTGCTTTATTGTACCATGTAATGTCCTTTCCCTTCTGCCAACGACCTACAGGCGCCTGTACCGAGTGTCCCAAATAATTTTCCCGATACTTGTCATTCTTGACGTCTTCCCACTTGAAATCTAGTGCATCAATTTGCAAGAAAAAAGCACCACATGTTGCCTTGTTTATATATTACACTGTTAGCAAAGAATTAATAGTAAACAATGCGTACGATCGGCACCACCACGCGTGCCGCCCACACGATAATTAGACTTTCCAAAGCTCATTAAGCCACTTTATAAATTGTGTGTGGGTCACATCGTAAATTGGACACAAATTTGTGTATCATAAAATATGGGGTACCATTATCTAATTATTCATAACCTAACATTATATTTTTCGAGAAATTTCGTGTAACGACGTCATGTCCGACACGAATAGGTCCAATGGTGGGGGTATCTTTGCTACTGGTAATAACACAAGTGGCGTCACAAGCGGTGGACCAGATCTTGCTAATATGAAAACCTACAATACTTTTCTTGCCGCCGATCCGGTGTGTCCGTAGCTTTAAATAATCTCGACAAGCACATAGAATATGTTTTAATTATTATTGGTGCTGATTATTTATTGCATTGAAAAAAACAGAGTGTGCGGTCATTGATGCGCACGTCGGATGACATTGAGCGTACACGACGCAATGTGGCAGAGTCCGAGGAGATGGCTAAGAACGTGTTGGTGGATCTAGAGCTGCAGCGCTCTCAGCTTCATGACATGAAAGAAATGGTCTCTGAGACTTCGAGCATGACGGGCCAAGTGCGTCACTTGTTGCAGATCATTTCCAAACGCTCCTATCGAAAGAAGATTTGTCTCTGGCTGGTCATTATGGTGCTATCTATTACGGATATGCTGGTATTCTATCTATTATTTGTCCGTTAAAAGTATGTCAGAAGCTGAAGAAATGCAAGTTTTTACAGAAAATTGAATGTCGCTTAGTGGTATTGTGACATTATAATTAAGAGCAAAAAAATATTTTGTGTAAAAAAAATTGCTGTTTAAAAAAATAGACTCCTGCTCTGCAACATTTTGGTGGGTGGCAGAAATTAGCAAGTTATTTATAATGTGTCGCAAGAAATAAAAAAAAGGCATGATCGTCGCCTATCGAAGCATCGGGTAGCTACGCTCTTGATTTTTTATTGGGTTTTCTGTTAAGAAAAAAAAACAGAAACTAGAAATGTATCAATTATGCTTGAATATTAACATCAAATATTTTACGAAACCTGGTTTGTATGGAACTTCTTCGAAGAAATAAATCTAGCTTCTGACATACGACGTACTAGACATCTCTCACTTTAAATCGTAACTCCAAGTACTCGAGTTGATAACTTCATCATCACTTTATCATCTGTATACAAACAACTTGTACACGTCAATATGGTCAAGTCTAATGAACGTCTCGCTACTGCCGAGCACGAGTTTGCGTTACTAGAAAAAGCACTCATTCAGACTGCAGACGATGCTGCCAGGTGTCTCAAGCTACTCAAGAAAAACCTCTCGGACTATGATCATCACCATGGAAACTACTTTATCAACACGGCCACGTCCTTCATGCGGAACGATATGCGATCGGCAAAAGACACGGCCTTTAACTTGAAGCACGTGGCACACCAGATCAACAAAAATCTACAGCCATTTGAATCGGGCGTTATATCTGCACGCAGCATGATGGATGTTGTTGCCAAATCCATGGACGCCCTCAATACAACAGCTCGTAACTATGACGAGAAGAACGGACGGTTGAAAGGTGTTAACGGCGTGATTGACAATGCCATCGGCAAGAATGACACGGAAAAGCGTGAGAAGGACGACAAACATGCTAGTCTTTTTGGTACGAGCGATGAGAGGAACATTGGTGGTCTGCTTGGAAAAACGGACGGCCATCATCATCATGGTGGCGGTATTCTCAGCAGCTCTGACACAGTCGAGCAGCTGGTCAAGACGACGTTGCACGACAACTTTAATGTCAGTGCACTGAGTCATCAGATCACAATTGCCCAGAAATCGCTGTCATCGTCGCCGTCTTTCGTAGAACGTGCTAAGGAGGTGATACATGATGTGAAGGACAAGCTGAAGGGTGACAAGACAAGCCCAACGCACGACGGTCATCACGGCAACAAGCATCTTGTGGACCATAAGGAAGGGTATTAGTGTGCACACTAGTAGATTTTGCATCTCGATTACCTAGGCATGTGCTGCAAGAGAACAAGGTGAGGTTAGTGTCACATAAACATCTTTTGCTATGAATAGTCGTTTACGATTTCGAGTGTCCAGCTTTGATGTAAATCGATAGTTGACTAGTACCATTTTATACCAGCTCAGTGTACTTTGAAATGATGATCTGCCATCCCTCGATTGAACACTAAGACCGATGTAATCCATTGACATTCAGCCGCGTCTTAGCAACTAATCGTGCCTTTTTCAAGCGCCTTCAGATGAAGACTTACTCGAAATCCAGTCTCTTCTTAACATTCTCTTCATCATTGACAGGAAGAGAAGATTACTCGATATTCAGTCTCTTCTAAGTATTCTCTTCATCATGGACAGGAAGAGATGATAAAAAACTCTCGTGTTTATTTTGAAGAGCTCCAACACAAACAAGACTCCACGTCTTCTTCATTCTCCAATTTGATTCCAACTTGGTACCCCAGTATTTCCTCACATCAACCTCTAACCACTATGCAGCTTAGCATTATTCTCTTTGTCCTCCTTGGCGCTTATGGAGCCGCCGAAGACGCCTGTCCTCCAGCCGAGATCAAAAAACTTGCTGAGCTTTATGCCAACCCGAACCTACATGAGTGCCAGAAAATCTCGGCCGACTTTTCCATCGCTTCACCTACGGACCCTCAAGTCAAAGCCATGTGTAATTCTGACTCGTGTCGTAAGCTGATCAAAGACGTCCTCGCATTGAAACCTGAAGACTGCTACCTGTCTTTTGCCAAGATGAAAGTCAACGCGTACAAAGTCGCCAGCAGTGTCGATGATGCGTGCATGACTGACATGAAGAAATACAATGAGACCTGGAAGTCTCAACCGGCTCTGAAACCCATCGACGGTGAGCAGTACCGCTACGAGCAAGAAAAGCAAAAATTTGTCAAGGATACCAATGGGACGCACGTTGTCAAGATTGATGATGCGCAAGATGAAGACTCGATCGACAGCATGGCGACAGAACCCGTTCCAACGCCAACCACGACGCTCCCGGCGAAGGTCTAAAAAACGCCGAAGAAGCTATAGCAACTTGTCTCAAACTTGTATTCATAAGTGCTTGTACGACATCCGCTGCTTACTTCATTCAAGAAACAGACGCGTTCCAGCGTTGCCATGACTAGATGTATCACCACGTATTGTAATGAACTTCGTATAATTTGAGTAGTGTCTTTTGCTGGTGAATATGTTAAAGTGCTGACTGCTTCTGATAGATAAGTGCACTGATAGTTCGTCTGTCTTGTTGTCGCTGCCATTTTGTTTTTACAACAAATCGATGGCGTTCATTGCTACTTCCAGCGCACAAGAAACAATTATGGCAAGCAATTGTCTTTGCAATTCCTTATTCCACCGAGATAATGTCGTCAATTGGTGACACCTTCAGTTGCTGAGCAACGGTTGCAACTTCCGAGACGAAAGCTTTTGCGTTCAACCACACGCCTGCAATCGATCTAGGCGCGTGCTCAATCAATTGACTGCGCAACAGTTCATTCTCATATCCCGAGGCTGGGGCTGAATACTTTAATTCTGATGCAGACAGAGCAGAACAGGCGAAAGCTGCGTCGGCTTCAACGACCGACACACTTCCAAGCTGCCAAAGACGTGGGTTTTTCATGTCAACACATGCTGGTACCAAGTTGGCAGCTTGACAATCGACGCTCTGCCAAGTCTTTGACTCACGCATGAGTGCGACACACTTGCTAGCATCAAGCTCATGCCCCTTAGTTACAGTCCATACTGTAGCCTCCATGCGTTTTGGGGTGAGGTTGTCTGGTGATGGCATATTCACACCACAGTCTGCCACGCCTGGAAGAGATTCTTCATTCAGCAAGTACTTATTGTAGCCAATCTGGCCGTTTGCATTGAGAAAACCGTACTCAATCTCGCTGGTTTCTGGGCGAAAGATTGTGAAGTTTTCGTCAGGAATCCCAATATCAGTGTCGGAATGATTGAATCGGCATTCAGGAAACGGGGTAAGAGGTAATGGCGGCTCTTGCCAGTTACAAATAGTGTCCTTCACAAACAGGAGTTCCTCCCCTTGCGCAAGGTAATCGGCACCACTCATGAACAGCACCCGCTTTCCGGCACGGAGCAGTTCTTCAAATGTAGGCCATTTTGTTTCGTACTAGGCATAAAAAACACCACATTCGATACAAGATATGAATATCATTACCTACCACAGACAATTCAAAACAGAAATACCTCACCACCAACTCTATCGGTCGTAGAATTTCCTCCTCCGGAAAGTACTTCTTCAGATAATCCAGCAGCATCCCGACTTTGTTCCATTTCATGAGATTTGTCTCGTCGTCAAAGAACACCATTAAGAACTCGTCCACATGCTCTGGTGCATGCAACCACGACGCTACTTCACTCAGTGCTTCCTCCAATGGCCGCTGCTCCTTGGTTGGAATGCTACTTAAGCTTGGTTTACACCCAATTGTCTCCGAGTCCCACTCAATACCGGTGCCCAATATCTTGGCAATATCATTGAAAACTTCGATCATTTTGTCCAATAATTTCGACTTGAAGCCTCCACAATGAGCAATGTGTAGATCGCCATCAAACCAATGCATATCCAGCTCAATAAACCTCACCCCCATGTTTAATTGGTCAGTAAGAGAAAAGAACTGGTCGTTCGTGTGCACCTTCATACCCTTTTTGAACCATGAAAAGTAACGCAAATAGCCCTCAAACACGTGATCTTCCACGCCGTAACCATCAGCTAAATTGATCGCTGAGTTGTGTGTGCCTGGTAAAGTTGCAGAGCAAATATTCCGTCGGTACGCAAGTTTACGTTGCAGATGAAGAGCTTTTTGTAGCCATTTCTCCATTTGGACCGAGCCATGTTTGCATACAATGGCACAAATGCCTTTTTGGTCACAACGTTTCATTTTGTCACATTTGACATCAAAAGGGACCAAATCAGGAACGACATCCAGTATTTGGGTCTTAAATTGGGCACTATCCTGGGCGATTTGAGATGTGGAAAGGGCCCAAAAAGTGTCGGGATTCATGTCGAGTTCGAGACACATGGAGTCTTGGAGTGGTAGCACATTTTCTATCGCTTGAGACGTAGATAATGCTAAGAGAATTAGGAGGAAAGTAGTGAAGAAGTGTGGATTAAAGGTAGAGAGAATGGAGGACGCCACTTGATTGCGCGACGTTACCATTTTTGTAACGGGGTTACACGACGGTTGGATAATTGGTAAGAATGCAAATGTGTATCCATCAGATATGTCGGTAATACCGTATCTTATCGGTTATAGGTCGATATCCGGGGCAACAATAACATATACTAATGCTTGTAATTAGAAAGTTATACGTATTAAGATTACAATGATCAGTAAATAGCCATAGTGTAGGGTACGTAGGATAAAATTTTTATTACATTTCTTATATATCCTTATGTTAGAATCTGTATCAGTTATTGATAAAGAAACTATTTTTGAAATAAATAATTCATCAAGTTCGGAGAGAAGAATTGCATTGAGGAGAAGTATTTAAAATAATGAAAATATTAATGACCATTCATTTTTTATATAGAGAATGGGTCAAATCAAGTTAGAACTTATTTACATGATTTTAACAAAATCTGCTTCGAATAAGTAGTCGCACAACAGCGTGTTGCGGTGAATATGTTACTGTAGGAAAAACCACGCGTGACTAGACGTAAGCAGAAAGAACATTTTAGTGAATCCACTGCACAAAGTAATCACACAAGTAAGTTGGCGTGTTAGTGCCAGAGAAAGTTGCCGGAAGAAATTCAGCTAGCTTTAAAAGAAAAAAAGAGGAAGTGTATTAATCCCAGGAGAAAGAAACTCCTGAGTTATTTTGACCGTAATCCTTAAATATACATAGAAACGCCTCTGTAGGCTGCTTCTCTTACCACGAGTGTAATTCCCTTGCCAATCGTTTCGCATCACACTCTCAACCTCTGTATGCATTTGCCCACGGTAAGTTTGTGAACGGAAATGTTTTCTTCAAAAGACAAACCCATTTCCAACAGTTACTGTGTTGCAAATTAGAGCTTGTTAAGTAGAATGAAAATGAGAGACTAAATGTATTTGAAGCTTACCGTCCTAGCTCTCTCTTGTGTTTGTTACCATCGATCCTTCCCAATGGTTTCTCTAGAGTAGCCCTGCCAGAAGGTCGCTTCGCCTTTTCATAGGATCGAAACCGCTGCGTCCTGCACGCCTAGAACAGCTTACTATAGTAACCACTCGCACCTTGCTGTGGTTACTGCTTGCTCAAGCATATGCGAGTTTCAATACTCCTTTCGCGCGGTCATTAGGAGAGCATCATGAGCATCCGCAGCTCCTTAAGCCGCGGTGATGGAACAATCTTAGTTAATATGTCCGCGCGCATCGCCTTGAACTCGCTTTACACTACCTCTAGCGTTTTCTTTCGCAATAAATCCTTCACGAGCTTGCATCTGATGTCGATGTGTTTTGCACGTCCAGACGTATCCTATCCTTGAACTTGGTTAATAGCCGCTTGATTATCCACATTGAGCTTGTACAGCGCCTAAACTGTGATTCTGATTTCACTTGATAACTCTGCGATCCCGAGACGCTCGGCCGTCACCTGTGATGCCGCAACGAGTTAGGCCTCCATCGTGGATAGTGCCACGCTGGCCTGCTTCTTGCACATCCATCCAACTCGACAAGTAGCATGCCACCACTTACGATTTGAGATCATTGCGATCTCCGGCAAAGTCGGCATCGCTTATTGCCTCAATCACGACGCTGTTCGCGCACATTTCGTCAGTCGTACGCATGCAAAACTTGGTGTCAATCGTTCCTTTGAGGTAGAGTGCAATCTTCGTCGATAATCTCCAATCACCATTGCGTGGTGCGTGCGTGCGTCTAGTAGACCGGTGCACTGCAAACGAGATATTTGGTCTTGTACATCGGGCGATCCACAGAAGACTACCAATTAAAGATTAAAAAGTCTGTACGGTTCGCCGCTCGGGGCTTCCAAACCCGTCATTCGGCAGCAATTCCCCTCTTGTGTCGTCCTCCTGCTCAACCCCGATCAGCACTGCCGTCGCCGAGGATAATCTAAATTTGTCGAGGGGGCCTTGTATCACCTGCTTTTTCTCGAGACGCCATCCTTCTGTATCGTCGTAATTGAACGCGATGCCCAAAAACTTCAAAACAATCCCCAAATCTTTAAGTTCGAGTAAGGACATGTCCGCGAGAAAATTCACGCTCGCGGTGTTTGTACCAGTACCTAGCAAGTCGTCGACATAAACCCCCAAGAGCATTACTTTATTCTTGTCTCGCTTGTAGCACAAGCAACTATCAGTGTAGCTTCGAGTGTACCCAAGGTCAATTAGCACACTGTATAGCAGCAAGTTCCATAAGCGACCTGCCTGCTTGAAGCCATAAAGGCTTTTCAGAAGCCAGAGGGCTAGTCGCGTCGATGCACCGCGCCTATTCGAGCAAGCAACTTGTCGCTAATATCCATACTTTGGTGTATATGAAAATATATATTATCCAGCCTTTTTCCTTGTCCGTCTTCACGTACGCATTTAGCGTTGATTTTGGATGCACCGTTACAAAATCATCATCGGTCTTTAGGTCATGGATGGACCGTCAAGAAGCCGATGTTGGTCTCAAACTTTACAATTTGCATAGGTTACGTTTAGCAGTGCTGGATGTGAGAGCACAAAGTACCAAGGCAAGGTTTGCTAAATATAAGCACTTCTACTATCTCCTTATTCTACCTCTTGTGTCTAAAATTGGGTACATCTCTGTGCCTGGCCGGGTCTCCCCAAATGCGCGCTAGTGCATATATCACTTTTCCAGTGGTCATGTCCAACCCGGCGGAGAACGTGTCTATTGGTAATGCTGTTGGTTACTGATACTAATGACCACATGGCATAGACGACACTGCGTGATTGTGTGTAACGATGGGATCGACTCATCGTTTTGTTACTAATATTGGAGTCGATATCGATAGGCTTAGAGTAGTACAACGAGACGAACTAAGGACCTAGCTAGATGATAATTCACTTTTCATTTTACCTTCTTTTAAGCACTCCAACCTTAACTCGCCCTTATCTGTTTCCAAAAGTCATAAGTGTCCGTGTAATCCACGCCAAATGCCTGCTCGCTTTTACAGGCCACGAGTATGCCTTTATAGCGCTCCACGATTCCATCGGAGTGTTTCTTGGTCTTAAAACCCATTTCGTATGCAGCAGTTTCCCGCTGTGAGGTTTTGCAACCACTTTCCACGTATGATTATTCTCGAGCGCTTCAAGTTCAACCTTCATTGCATCTTTCCACTTGTCTGCATGCTTATCTTTCATCGCTTCCTGATAGTTTTTTGGGTCGACTGTGACCAAATCGTTTACGATCCCGATGGGCACATGCTTTTTTCCCACGTAGCGCGTATGCATCCGCGCTGTTGCAAGCCGCTGAAGTCGCTGCAAGATCAGCTGGAGACTAATCTCCTTCTGAATCAAACTTTCTTCACTCTTGTTGCCAGTATTGCCAAGAGTAGATTCCTTTGGACTTACCACTGCCTCAAACTCATTAATTGATTTCCAAAATTCGGGGTCCTCTTTCAAAAGCTGGGCTTGAAGCTGTAAGTTATGGGTGCTACCAATCGTTTCCACGTTCTTGATGTGTTGGGTCGTAATCACAACCCGGTCATTTGGGATGTAAACCTTGAAACCCTTAATTTCATCGTTCTTACCGATGATCATACCGACTTTTGCACGCGGATGCCACAATTTCTTGTCTGGATCTCGGTAAACGGTGCACAGGCTTCCAAAGATGATGATATTCACCAGATTCGGGCACTTGACCGTCATCATTTTGATTACTGACATCTTCGCTGGATTGGAGCTGCACGCGCTGCGATATAAAACGCACGTAGTTTATTCTACAGCGTTTGTTCAGAAGTTTAGTGGTATCCACTCACAAACAACATGCACTGACAATGTTCAGAATTTTCTGTGTATGCGCTCAGCCTTTTTATCCGAGGCCTTATTATTGGCTTCGCTCACCTGCCGCTGAATTTCCGTCGCGCAGCAGAATGGCTATACGTTCATGTATCACCCCCGCCATCTGTGCGCAGGACGTGAATGCGGCAGTTAAACAGCTTCTCCAAGAACTCCAAGAAGTGCTTAAATTTCTTGGTGACGTCTATCTTGTTTTTGGCTAAAACGCCCTTAAGTAGTTGGATCGGTGTTCCACGAAGCCATGTAGCGGTTTCCATGTCTTTCCCTAGGTGTCATCGGCCTTTTAGTGTCGCTACAGATCACGCCGCCAATCTGATCCACCGGTGCGTTCTGCCCAGTGTCCTTCTGGGATTGAATTATTTTGTGTTGCTTCCCTTGAGCGCACGTAAGACAATTCAGCCTCTTGCGACTAAAAAGACGGACGCTCGATCCCGGCGCATCTGCCATACTCTCCAATATAATAAAGGATAGGTGTCCTCAGACGATCATGCAGCTTAAGGAGATTGCAGTCTGTTACTGCGTCGGCAGCACCGTCATTCCAATGTAGAACCTCCACCAGCACGGCATGCACGCGTTCGCGTTTGGTGCATCCTCCGATGGTTTCATCTAGAGTACACGTCCTTCACCGCGCACTCCAAAGATGTGGTTTTCGTCCGCAGCACGCTCAACGTAGCTCAGAGAGCCGTGGCGCGTAAGATACGCACCCTTCTTCTCCAACGAAGCGTAGCTGATGATGTTGCTGCTGGAATCCTTACAATAGTAAACATTTGTCAAGTCGACACGCTTTCACCACCATCCACAACAGTGCGCAGCTCGAATGTTCCTCGTTGCGTTGCACGTAACGTGCTTCCTTTGGCTGTCTGCCATGTGTCAGAGCAGTCGACAGCGTTTCGCAGTAGGCTGACGTCACGTATCAAGTGTACACTCGAACTGCCGTCCAAAATTCAGATGCCTTCAATACTAGTTTCTGGACACACACTGTCAATGGCCAGCGTTACCTTTGCGTCATCTATGACCTTGTCTGCAGAAAAAGTATATTTAAGGTTCCCGATACCTCCGCACGACCAGCACGTGCGATCATTGCCTGCATCAGCACTACCAGCCTCGATTCGACCAACAAAACGAATCTATCCGTCTTGACCCAACACATTCACTGAGTCCGTCCCGAGCACTGACACCACACCAACTACTGTGTCTGGTTGAGCTGAGTTCATAATTGGCCGCAAAGCCACCAATTTATATGCTTGCTGAATGTGGTCGACTCTGTTTGAGTCAAGGCGCGTCAACATCGCCGTCTTCATCTGGTAAGGTGCTGATTCGCACAGACACTAAAGCACGATTTGGTTTAAACAACCTGCACGTTTCTCCACGTACACCAAGTACTTGAAATGCTCCGTCCATGTTTTGCTACTTGCCTTCGGTTCACACATAAGATCCATTGCCTTAGACACCGGCAACTTCGTTGAGTAAACACCCAGCATTCTGTCCATGATATGCTCAACCGTGCTTAATTCCGCGTTCCACTTCGGTACCATATACTCAATAGAATCAAAGCTTTTCCCTCCAGCTTATTTTTGAATGCTAAGATCTTGAAGTCGTCAGGCCAGTCGCCACCGCTCATCATCGGCGCCGCCACTAGACCCTGCACAATTTTTTCCCCACGCTTAAAAGTCTGCACCAACTCCTGCGTAAATTTCGTTGTCTGAAAACCTTGGGAACCCTGGCCAGTCCATATCCTTCATCTTCGGCATCTTCAGACCAAAGTCCTGTGGGGTGCAGAACGTCCATGCCTGCTGCTGAGGGATTGGCATCTGTACAGGATTAGATGGCGGCGATTGGAATGAGTCTGAAACTGCACGCGGCGCTCATGCCGCTACTGGCTTTCTCTCCATTAATTCATAAAGCGACCCCATTCGCATGCTTTTACCACGCGCCTTCAAGTAGTCTCCAAAAGTATTGGACCCATGCTCGAAGGACGTGACAAACATTCTTGGCTGTTGCGCCGGCGCGTGTTGTGCTTTCACAATATGCTGCAATTGTGCTTGCATATGCATTTGATGCGTCGCGAACTTTTCTGCCATTCCCTCGAGGAGTCCCTCAATTTTATCTATCCGCTCCAAGCTCGCATCAAAATCCCGAATGCTCCTTTCGTGAGCGTCTGACGCGCCAGATAAATAGCGCTACTCCTCGAACGACTCGTATGCATCCGACGCCTCACCTAGCCCCCTGGCTCCAGGTTCCGAAGTAAAGTTGTCTGGTAAATGTCGTGGCGAGGAGATCTTGGGGCCTATTGGGCTCATAAACTGTAGCAATTTAGAGTTTGTTAAGTAGAATGAAAATGAGAGACTAAATGTATTTGAAGCTTACCGTCCTAGCTCTCTCTTGTGTTTGTTACCATCGATCCTTCCCAATGGTTTCTCTAGAGTAGCCCTGCCAGAAGGTCGCTTCGCCTTTTCATAGGATCGAAACCGCTGCGTCCTGCACGCCTAGAACAGCTTACTATAGTAACCACTCGCACCTGCTGTGGTTACTGCTTGCTCAAGTTATATGCGAGATCCAACATACTGGACTTTGTAAACACCGCCCGTCACATCGGGAAGTTGGTTGTTTTTCAAGAATTTTTTTTAATATTTTCTAACTTTTAAAACAATTATTCAATTAAAATAATTTATAATTTTTGAATAAAGTAAATTACTTTATAAGTGGTCAGTTACTTCGATACAAGGTAGTCGCTAGTCCTTTATACATTTATATTTGTATAAAAAATCAAATTTATTCAGAGACGTTTTCAACAAAAAAAGCTCTTTTCACTCTAAGTTCAATAGAGAAAGTCTATTGTGAAGACTAGTTTTCTTGGATCGGGAGCAAAGTAAAGGTCAGGTGGTTGATACCCCTGAAACAAGAAGGAAAAGGCCAGGGATAAGCTCCCTGAAGAATTTGGCTTTAAGTCCACTCTCGACAAGGTCGATCGAGTGGCCACCTACCGGCCCACCGAGTGAAGCATATCCACTCGAGGCCCTCCAGGTCTACCTCTCTCAAGGCAGACATCTACATCTTCACCGAGTCCTCCGAAAAGTGCAACCCGCCAGCCGACGGGTACACAAGGTGAGAGAAGGTCTATAAGCGGCATCGAGGTACCCCCTCCGACAGTCGGCAGTCCGGCACAGTGAGTGGTTTGGGGTCTCATCATACAATTTTGAGAACCCACTCCACCACACTATGCGCATGTGGATACATAAAAAAGAACCATTGGCGGTTTGTTGTCAAAGAGGGACGTTAATCCATCAGTATCACGTCGACATATTTTTTTGAATGAAACTTTAGAGGAAGAGGTATATATATAATCTCCTTTAGGAGTAAAATCAGGGCGTGACCAAGTACTTAAGCTGAACCGCATCAATGTGGAATAAAGTAGCGGCAGTGACATGGTTTAAGAAAATAGCAAGTGTTTTCGTGGATATGCGATTTCATTCGTGTGTGTCAGACTTGTGTGTATTTGTAAGACAGAATGGAGAGTCATGCGCTTACGTTGCGTTTTATGTGAATGACCTTCTGACCGAAGCTGGATCAATTTTCAAGATAAATGTTGTCGCAGCTATATTTTCAAGTCGTTTCAAGATGAAGATAATGGGAGGTGTTCGTTTCATTCTCGGAATTTAAGTCAAGTATCTGCGAGACGACCGACGACTACATATCAGCCAACGATTATGTATATCTAGGATGATAGAAAATTTTACTAAGTTGACTCGAGATCAGAACTAAATCCTCGTGCTGAAGGGGAGGCTATGAAGAAGATGGACAAAACTGACCCAAGGATGAAAATTCGACCATACGGGTTATTGGTGGTCTCACCATTATTCGTGGTATCAGGTACGAGACCGGATATTGCGTTTGCACTTTGCCAGCTGTACCGACACCTGGATTTTCCACACGAAGAGCACTGGAATGCAGCGATACGAGTATCGCGCTATTAAAGATGACGCAAGACAAAGGAATTTGCTATAACGGTAATTCAGACAAACTACAGTTGAGCGCGTACACGGACGCGGACTAGGCGAGCTACAAGGACAACTGCAGATCAACATCAGGTGTGTTGGTCATGATTAAAGGTGCACAAAGACTTTAAAGTCGAAGAGGCAGCAAGCGTATAGCGCTGAGTATAGCAGAAGCAGATGTGGTGAAGTGCTTTCCTAAATTGTGAAGAACCCAGGGTCCCGTTGGATTGAAGGGACAAGGGGCCGTGGACTAGGGAGAAGGGACCACGCACCAGAGAGAAGGGACCGGAGATAATGGGAACCTCGGAGTGAAGCGACCGTTGGCTGAAAATTCGAAAGACAAACAAAGGAGAGGTCATTACCAGGGTAACGTCTAACCTGTACCGAAGGGATTCGACCATGGCCCTCATTGGTCGACCCGGTCCCTCATTGGTCGAACAGGTCCCTCATCGGTAGACCTGGATCCCTCATAGGTAGACCTCGGCTCCTCGTCGGTCGACCCGGTCCCTCATTGGTAGACCTGGGTCCCTCATCGGTAGACCCGGTACCTCGTCGGTAGACCTGGGTCACTCATTGGTCGAACAGGTTCCTCATCGATAGACCTGGGTCCCTCATTGGTCGACCAGGTCCCTCATCGGTAGACCTGGGTCCCTCATTGGTCGACCTGGGTCCCTCATTGGTCGACCCGGTCCCTCATTGGTCGACCCGGTCCCTCATCGGTAGACCTGGGTCCCTCATTGGTCGACCAGGCCCCTCGGGGTTCAGCCACTCCTGACCAGTTAATACAAGGATCAGACCAGTCGACGCAAGGAATCAGAGCTTCAGGCAAGGATAGAGTAAAGGAGTCAAAAGGATAGGACTATATTAAATACT